AACTGATTAAAAAAAACGTTTTTTGAACATTTGAAAAACGCAGAACTATAGATTGGTCTTTGTACTACTACAAGCCGTTTAGAGTGCGTAGCTATCATTATTTGTCAATTCTAAAACAGTAATCTTGGAAACAGCGCTGTCCAATGGTGAAACATAGCTACTGAAGCCCGAGCTGAGATTTCCGAGCTAAGGTAAAGCGCACCCTTAAGTATTTTTTTTCTATAAGGTAAACTTTACAGTGATCACTTTACTCTTTACAGATCAGAGCTTCATTAGCAGGTAAATGCCAAAAACTTTAAAGATGACTCGTCCACAAAATCATTGCTGATTTATTGTTACTCTGAAAATACACACGAGAATAGGTTTAGAAATGATTAATGAATACACCAAGTTGAAAAATTACACACTTGACTTGTACATAATTTATTAACATGAACCAGAAGTATTGGCATAGAGTATAGACTAGGTAAAAGACAGAGAGCAACAACAGAAATGGTCAACAGTCTAGTTACAGTAAGGAACTTAGTGCTCCTGACCTAGAGAATGGATGTACAAAAAACATGTACAAAAAATGTGTACAATAGGTTTGAGTAGTTTTGTACAAATTTAGATATCACTATACCACTATTTATATAATGTTGAATAGTTTGATTTTCGCTTAATAAGGGGGAATGATTTTTGCCCTTTTTTTAAAAAAGGTTGGCTGGCGACCTTCTTAAGCAAGGGACTAGCCAGCACAGTTCAAAAAAGGACTTTAAAAACTGATATATCAAAAGTGGAGAAGACAAGACACAAATTCAAAACATTGATGCCTTGGCTGTTTGAACGGAGTATAGTTTAAAGTCAAGTGGGTTTTCAAGTTCAACTGAGTCATTGACTCCCCAAAACTTAGGGTTTGGATTTTTGAACATATTTCTGAGAATGATAATTTCAAACTGGATTAATAAGATCTGTTGTACTTGTTAAATACCGTAGTGACTATGTGTGGTGTTAGGTGTTAGCTGTAAATATGTTGCATAGAAAACTAATAAATTAGGTAATTTTGTTTATTACTCTCATATTTCTAAGGGTCCATCTTACATAGACTAGTTGATTCATTGTGATCAGTTTAGTCTCTCTAGTTTTTATACAACCTAGTTTTCCTATACTCCGCGCCAAAGCTGGTGGCGGCTGAGGGATTAGGACCGCCAGGTAGAACTACATAGGTCGGACCTGCTCACCGACCTGGCCGTCCTAATCCCTCAGCCGCCACCAGCTTTGGCGCGGAGTGTAGTGTGCAAAAAAATGTGTTAAAAAACTTTTGTACATGTTTGTCTACTTTTCCTCTACACAGAAAATTAGAAGTAAATCCCTTCTCTATGCTCTTCACCAATATCTCTTATCTACTGACCCCCTCCCCCTTTCCCAAAGATCAATCCTGAAAGATCAGGCAAAAGTTGTTATGTCCGCTAAATAGTAGTGGATCAAGTTAACTCTTGATAAATATTTTAGCTTTTAAATTAAACGGTTTCCTTGCAAAGTGACTTTGTAAATTTAAAATATGAAATTCCTAATAAACTGTAGGGTCTATTGCATGCAATTTCAAACCATAATATTTCAAACAATTCATTTAACATCAATTGTTTGCTGAATTGAATAATAAAATTTGATGTTTTGACATTTAATTTGCAAGTTTTGATAACGTTGAGCTGGCAAAAAAAAACTATTAAATTGTGTTCTGCATTTTTGGACTACTGGCGAAAGTAATGTATTAATTTAGCCATAATATTTCTTAAACTCTACAGGAATAGAAATCACATCTGCACAAATTTCATATACATCCACTCCCTACAGCCCATAAACATTACATACAAAAATAATTACTAATTAAATTAAATATCACATCTTCAACTAACTCTAGAAATAGTACAGAATTAACATTGACAGCTAATATGCTTTAATTCACTCTAAAATCTTATATACAATGCTTCTAAACAGCAAATACGTTTAGTTTAAATTTTGTTGTAAATTGGTATGTCATTCTTCAAACCTAGAATACTTTTGCTGAAAATTTGAATACTATATATGTAGTACCGTTTAACATACATTCATAAACATTTCAAGTCGTAATAAATGTTTAACTTTGTATAAAAAATGTATAGCCTATACTCAAGAAAAAAAATAATTTCGGCGATTAGTTTGAGCAAACATAAAACCTGAATTTAACTTGCATTACATTATTATCAAGTATCAGTTGTTTGAAAGTAAATTCATAAAGTAATGCCGTACTGTGTCTATAAAGTAAAACAAGGAAAATATACAAACTAAATTACTCAAAAAACAGTACAAAGAACTAATTTGGTATAAATACAACTACATATTTGGTAAACACATATCATAAAACTAATATAAGAAAACCTTTAACAGCAAAATAAATAAATATCACAGTGTTTTGATTATAAAGTTGTATACTGTACAGTATCAATATCCTATATATTTTTGTGCCTTATCGCAACATTTCATTAGCATAATAATTGTAAAAGAAAAAACTTTACATGGTATTGATGTAGAATATTTTCAACACAATTTTTTCAATTTGTTATTTTTTAATTAAGTAAAAAAATTATACTTGATTGGAGTTCTATAATCTGAAATACTATTTATGATTGTCATTATTAAAGTAATGTAAACAATAGCCGTGAAGTATATGTTTTACACATTATTTAGTTTTTAATTTTTCTAGTCTGATCTCACGGTAGAGCGCTGGATTTGGAGTGAAAATTTAAAAACGTACGTTTTCAGGAAAAGCACTTTGCAAATTTTTTTCCCCTTTTTTCAAAACTTTTATTATTTTTTTTAATTCATTAACATTTGAAGTTTCATAAAATGACCATGGTAACGCAATATCTTTGGTAGTTTCTTTTTAAAAGAGCATCTTTAGTAGAAAAACACAAAATCCTGTCACGACCATAACGGACGTTTAAATGAATATTAAAAATAGTTAATATTATTTTTATAACTATATTTTGCTAAAAACTAATTTACTTTTATGACCATTATATAATAAAAAGGTCACTGAGCTTTTTGTATATTTGGTCTTTCTAGAAAAAAATAAAAAACTCAAAAAATTAAAAAAAAGCCTATAAAATCTTTTTAAGTTTGTATAACTCCGAAAAAACTTACCTGAGACCCAAAAAATCGTCATGTTTGTATAGAGGTGTGCTTCTTTTGTGTATAAAACATTGAAATATGACGATATGTTAATTTTTGAAATTTTTATGATAGAAATCATAAACGTGATGGTCAGGGACAAGCGGAACGGTCGTGAATTGTCTGGAATAATCTAAATCTTTCTAAACAATACTTCAATTATCCTGTTAGTTATAATAAAAATATGTGTTTCAATTGAACTAAACTGTTCTATTTACAATTATATTAAAGTTATTGTCACGACCAAACACACTATAATCCATAAGGCTGGATTGGTCGTGAAAAAACCCGCGATGGTCGTGAAACTTTGGTCGTGAAATTACGTGTTATTTGGCTCTGTTCTGGCGGTAGGCCTGCACCTCATGTTCGAGGATACAAAGTGGACTTCTAGGTTATTCTAGCAATTGAAATATCTTATAAACAAAAATTAACACCATGTCTACTTTATCGAATGACTACGTACGGTCATGGACACACCAAAATTACAAAAAACACAATCTTTCCTTTATTAATCTTGTAATTCCTCCTTTCAACTCGAAACGACCGGCACTACAATCCTGACGTACACCCCGAACTAGTCTCTAAAACCAACTGACTCCATCGACGCCAGGCTTGCCACTGTCGTGCTCCAAAGTTGAAAATTTTTCCCAAATGGTCGTGACGCCAAATCGAGGGACAGACTTATTTTGTCATGGTAGTCAGTTTGTAATGACAATAAAATTATAATATGCTCCTTTTTTGTAAGTTTAATAACCATTGATGACATAAAAATATGGCATTATATATTTTGGCATGAATAATTAGTCTAAAAACAGCGTGAAAGTTGGAGAATGTACCCTAGGGACACGTCATGGTCGTGAATTTCGAGACTTTAAAAATACGAAAAAAATACCTAGAACCTATTTAAAACCAAATAAATGTGTGTAACATGTTGCCCCCATCCCAAAAAATATTAAAACACATAATAATAAACTACAAATCCAGTATCTACGAAGTAAAAGGCCAGGGACATGAAAACGTACGTTTTTAAATTTTCACTCTTTGACTTTGGAAAACTGTTACCTAATTAAGTTGTTCATTGAGTTTTTGAAATGATTTGGGTTGTTTTGTAACCCTAACATGATTTATTTACCCTGCTAAAACTCCCCTTTGTGATTATTTCTACTATTATTGTTTGGATTACAAATAACTGACAGATTATAATTCACATAATAATCCAAGTTTTGCCAATTCAATCCTGAGATGTCATTAGCTCATTTTAATGCTTCAAAACTGGATTTGGCTGTCCTTGTTTAATGTTCATCAGGTATTTAATGGAAATTGCTAAAAACCTGTTTATCTTAGTCAGAACAAAGCTTCATATGCAAAGTTTAGAGATTTATGAATTAAATTGTAGAGAATTATCCAACTTACTGATAGTTATATTACACTTCAAGGATCAAAAACTACTTTCAAACTTCAAATCAATAAATTCAAGCAACAATTTTTGTGTTTCTAAATCAAAGACATTCACAGTTATATTCATTCAATTATTGATGTTCTTATTTAGAAAAATTCATAATTCTAGCCAAGTTGTATTTACAACAATCCGATGAACGTTAGTTTGGTAAAAATGTTTTTCAACAGTTTTTCAGTGTTTGCAACAGAAATTTTGCTTTCTACGAGGTAAACCGTTACAATATTTTTTAAAGCCACATTTACACCAGAGTTGGCAAGAAAATGTTTAAATTTTTTGTTGAGGACACCTGTCAGAAAATGTGTTAAACATTTTGTTGTAAACAATTTTTTTTATTATTCACAAAACTGACAGTTTCCAAAGTCAAATATTGGTTTGAAGAATGATTATTTTACGGGGAGTTTTATGCGTTTACATTTACTGGTAGCTTACACAACGATGACTACAGTCCATCTACCATGGCCTCCAGACATCTTCGTCTTTGGCTTGGACCTCCTGTTTGATGGTGATGGGTTCGTCTTCTCTCTTGACGCTGAAGTCTAGCGGGCAGTCTTGGTCGGTCTTTGTGGCGACGTAGGTGCTTGGCAACAGGAACACTACCTGGCCATCTGGTAGTCTGGAGGGTATGACCTGCACACACATCACTTTATTGATTACAAGGATACGTTTATGAGAGATTTATAACCGTTTAGCATGTCCTCTTAAAACTAACGATTGTATTATAGATTAGAGATAATTTCTTTTAATTCATGTTTTAATTCATGTACATTTTTTGTTGTTGTTTTGAATACAAATATGTGCACATTGGTGAAATTAGTAGAGTAGCCAAAATGTTGCATAGTTTTAGTTGTATTTATAATATAAAAAAACTCATGCCCTCACACAAAATAAATAAACACTCTTGCCCTTACAGCCCCCCCCCCCCTCCTTCATCATTGCCCTTTACTTTACTTTGCCTTATTGTTTACCCTTTGGTGTGAACTCTTACTTAGTCCCCTTCGGTGTGAACTCAGTCGAGTGGCTGTAATAAAGGCTTAGTGAACACAACCTATTTTGAGACATCCTTGGGTCAACAGAGGCCTCTTCACTACTATAGAAAACTCCTACACTAATGTACTACAAAACTACTCTTTGGTAGAAAAAAGTTAGAGTCTATGACACCTAAACAAAACTGCCCAGAAACAGAAATTTAATTAGAAATTTAAACCAGGACAGCTTTGAAAGATATTATATTGACATAAGCAACTCATCATTAGAATTTTGTTTGATTTCCAAAAATGACATTTTTTTCAACAACAATTTTAAAATGGTATTACAGTCAGTTTGACCAGCTTAACTTTGAAAAATATCATATATTGACATAAGCAACTCTTAAAATTTTGTTTCGATTTCAAACAATATGCTTTTCAACAACAACTTAACAGTGGTATAAAAGTCAGCTGTTTGCATATTATATACAAGATAAGATATACAGCTGCTTACCTGCACCACTGAGAGGTTAGGTTGACTAGAGGAGGTTGAGGCAGGTTCATTTGCCTTGGTCGAGGTGACAACAGGTTTCTTGTCAGGTTTGCGTAGCCGCGTCGCTGTCGGTGGCTTCCGTCGAGCCTTGTTGTGGCTGTTGTTGTTCTCATCTCCAGGCGAGGTTGTGCTGCTGTCAGGCTTTGTCATTTCTTCGTTGTCTACTGGAGTCTGTTCAAAAAATTCTTGTTTTAGTGACTAAGTAAAAAATTGTCCTCCAAGTTTTCAAAGATTTTTTAGAAAATCGTAAAAGCTACTGTGTGTGTGTATAAAGAACTTGAGGTATACAGTGGAATCCCTTTTGTTCGGACACCTCGAGATCCCAGAAACCAATTTATATGTTTCAAAACTACATACTGCGTGTACAATGTAGTACAATACTAACAATAAGAGGGAACAGGAATAAAATATTATGTTTTTGTTAAACAGTTAGACAAACAGGTTGGGAGTTATACTATGTACAAAACCTTCTGTCTATGCAAGGGTGGGAGTCATACACAGATGTGGCCGTTCAATCAATCTGTAGTGGGAGCGAGAGGGAGTCTACAATGTACAAGTACTGTAAAAGTTAGTGAGAGGGGCTTTAGCCCTATTAGTAATACAAATACAACATCATAACCAGAGTCATTTAATAAGATAAAACCATTTAATAAAACCTGTGGTTTTCACTTAGAAAATATGTCAGAATACAGAATAAGGGAAGTATTCGAGTGTGAACTGCACTAAAACGTTTAATCAATAAAATAAACCAAAAAATATTAATTTATATCAAATTAGGAATAGCTGTCTAAATAAAATTATAGTGACTTATTGCCGGGGAAAGTATAGGTAGCAAGGCTGGCTGCAAGTACTTGCCAGTTGCACTTACCACACATTTCCCCTTCTCTGTATGGGTACTTTTGTTGGTAAGTCCAGGTGAGTGAAACCGGTCAAGTATTTGCAGCCAGCAACATGCCGCATCTACTTTCCCCGTCTATAAGCGACTTCAGACAAACGATTCTTCTAACCTGAACTTTTGGTCCTCCCATGAGCATTTCCTCCAGCCTGTCTAGCCTCTGGTCTGTTTCAGAGTCCAGGGAAGTTCTCATGGTCGCTAGGCTGAAGTCCAGGTCAATTTCTGACAAACAAGAGTCCATGTGTCGCAACAGTCTCTGTTTGATGCCGGTGTCTATCAGCGGGGGCCCTGGGGCTAGCGGGGCTGTGGGGCCCAGCTGTAGTTCCGGTGTATCCAGAAACCTTGTCACCTGCCAGATCATAACAATATTACAACTTATCCTAACATAAGAATTATGATATTTCCAACACTTCCATAATACATGGTTGAAATGTTCGTACCTTCCTAGTGTGCATAAGGTTCAATACTCTAGTTATGTGTACTTGCTGAAAATATAGCTTAATTAAAAATGTTAATGCTACCATTTGCATTTTCTTTACAGTGGATGTAACTACCAGCCAAAAAAGCAACATCTAAGGCTAATTTTGACAGAACTGTCTAAATACTTGACACTTAATTTTGTAACAGTTTAGAACTTTCTCTTGAGATGCATTACCTCACGAGCACACTCCTGGAACCCGGCCTTATACTTGTCCAGCGTCCCACAGCTAAGTGTCTTTTGCCGCTGAAGATGGCGAACAGTCAACTCCAAGATGTCTGCTTTCTCCAGCTTAGAGTGTTTTGTGTTCTGCAACATTGATAATTTGGTGTAAACGATCCATATGGATAAAGAGTCCAGTACACCACACAGGTGATTCAACCGGATTCAACACACATAAACGAAGTCAAGAAGTTGTTTCTGATGTATCTAACAAGTTTCTGTATAGCCTTATACTTGTCCAGCGTCCCACAGCTAAGTGTCTTTTGCCGCTGAAGATGGCGAACAGTCAACTCCAAGATGTCTGCTTTCTCCAGCTTAGAGTGTTTTGTGTTCTGCAACATTGATAATTTGGTGTAAACGATCCATATGGATAAAGAGTCCAGTACACCACACAGGTGATTCAACCGGATTCAACACACATAAACGAAGTCAAGAAGTTGTTTCTGATGTATCTAACAAGTTTCTGTATAGATATTTACAAAAGTAATCACACTTGAAAAGGAAATCAAGAACCTAAAATTGACCAAAATAACATTAAACACATTTAGTGGTGTCTAATGGAAGTTTGAATATCACATATCAGTATCATGGTAGCTGTAAATAAAAACTACAACATTTGAAATCAATACTAGAAACTATTGTATATACTTTAAGCAAGCCAAACTTTATCTCATTCTCATTCTGTTGTCAAATGAACAGGAGTATATCACTTCACTTAAGTTTGAAAAAATAATAAAAACTTACCTCCATCTTGGCAGAGTCCAGAATGAGGGCTTTGAGCACTGCCAGTGATTGGTTGATACGAGCTCTGCGTCGCTTCTCCATTAGGGGCTTGTTGGCCTGTAAGAAAACACAAGATTTAGCCTAACAGCTGAAAATATTTATTTCTTTATGATTGGTTTCCACTGTTGATTCCTCATAAATCCTGGTTTTCAGGTGACGGTTTCTTCGAAGATGTAGTTGCAAACACAAAAGAGTGCTTGTGCCTTGAAAATGGACTGTTCCATTGTGTCCCAATCGTCAGCAACTACATCATTGTCCTCTTCTATGCAGCCGTCACCCAAAACCAGAAATTATGTTGATTTAATTACAGCTGATTCATTAAATAATGTGTACACTGTATTATCATCTGCATAACAAGACGTAATATTTTATTTCATACCTTGATCAAAAATAGGAAGAAACCTAGCACACCCAAAAAAAGTAGTTTTATTATTTGTTAATTCTTACTCCAGAAATATTATACATTTATACACATTTTTGATCTATTCTGAAGCATAGTTTATCCTTTGGAATTATAAATGAAGGCCAACCCAAAATACTCTAAAATAAGATAGACATAGTGGACATCGGAGATGAAACTCGTCAAAAAAGGTTTCAGATATAGGATGCAAAGTCAATAGTTGTACTTTACTTACAAAATGCAGATTATTACTATTCTAATATGCACGTCATACAAATCAGGCGATGAAAGCCACACTGCGTCATTAACGCATAGTGCAATTACGTTGTGGTTATAAAACGAGCAAATATCTGCAATATTTTCCCCCGCCCAATTAACCCAGCCCTGCTGACAAGTTTACCCTTGAATAAAACCAATCATGTCATTTGTTGCCAATTAACTCCCTATCTTGTCTGGTAAACCATTCACTATGGCATGCCATAATAAAACTGCCACTCAACCATTCAGTACTGTGGTACAGTCTGTATTCTATTTATTCAGTCCAGTATAGCTTCACTGATATGAATGGTTGCAGAGGTGTTAGAGAGTGGATCAACGTGTGGTTTATTATTTTAACCAAGCAGTTTATTTACTGTGTTTAATAAACATGTCAAACAAAATGATGACATTGTTCTAGTTAATGGTTGTTACATAATTTACCTTTAAGAATATTTGAAGCTAAACTAAAAGATGCCTTCTTACTTCAAACATTACAATAAATATAACTCAAGAGACAAAATAGCACTATACTAATGCTACAGTAAGGACTGCAGTGAACAGTGCAGTGTACAGTGGGTGTTGAGGGAATACATCAGCAAATGTCGGAGTAGAGACATGCTAGTGACATTGCAGCTAGTTTCCTGCTGTGAGAAATGTGTCAATTGCCAAACTTAATTCATAAATATCAATTATACAATTCCTGCATCAAAATCAGCTGTTTTAAAAACATGTGATGTGCGGCAAAAAAAGTTCTTTTTATCAGAATCATAAGGACACCAGCTGTATATTATTTCATTTGTTAACTTTGCCCGCTGAATTTGACAAATAAAATAATTCAGACAGAAAATAATATTGTTGATACTAACATTTATTTGTGTCTATAATGGTTTTATATTGTATAAAATGTAAACATATTTATCTACTAAAGTAACTATCCCCATATGTTTACGCTGATAAAAGTAAAACATGTTCTAGTAACTTAAATTTGAAATTGAACTAAGGTTTGACTGTATGAGAGCTATACCAACCTCCTTGACAACGTTAAGCCGTCATTTAGCACATAGTCTTATTCTGCCCTGCTGTTCACAGCGAGTTTTCCCAATAAGTAGTTGTTTTATAATTGAAAACACATTAATTCATTGACATATCTGTTAAGCCAGATAGTTATACCAATGCTTTCAAACCTGGTTAGAATCCAAGCATGATGGTTTTCGGACCCAGATACGATTACATTTATTTAAATAGCATTAGTTTAACGGAGTACTAAGGTTTGCTGCAACAGGGAGGGTAAAAAGTGTTTTTTATAAAATGTCAATAGTATAGTATGAAATAAATAAATTTTCCAAATTTGATTAAAATATGTTCATAAACAAGCAAACTACATTAGTTTACTTATTCTCCATAAGAATAACATGGGTATTTTAAATTTACAATTTTTTGGAATTTTCTCCGTAACTATTAAGAGCATAACGACGCTTCATCATACTAAATTATTTGTTATTTGAGGTCTACAAAATGGTTTGGAAATAAATTGCAAAATGTTATTTTCTTAGGGCCAACAATGGGAAAAACAGATTTTTACCCCATAAAAAATCCCATAAACCCCCGTTCCCATAGTCCGATCATGCTGGTTCGCGAACTCGTTAGAATAAATGTAGATTTACACGTTTGTACCAAATTTCATCAAAATCGGCCTGTATGGACCTCAAAACGTAAAAGTAAATCGGTCCCGGGTCCAGGTTTTACCATGAGTACTACGGTAATAGCTTATTCCCTATATGGGAAATTCGCTAAAAACGATAAAATGCCAAAGGCACACGAGAGATAAACACGAATAATATATTTGAAAAATCATAAATTTTTGATTAACAAGGTGATTACTGATTGATTTGATTACTGGACGCCTTCATCAAGGGCGTAGGCAATTTAGTAGCAGTACTCATATTGCGTTGAGTACCGGAAGGCGCAAAACGTAAACCGTATGAACATCGTATGTGATTTCATTACATAATGAAATGTATTAATAAAATCGTTATGTAAATAATTAATGTATTTTGTTAAAGCCTTATAAAAGATACTAAAAACTTTGCTGCAGTTTTTGCTTTTTTACTCAATTCGTCCGCCATTTCATTTCAGGGACTTTTATTGTGTTTCCAGAGGGTAGACATAATATCTGAAAATATTCTATTACGATAAATGCATTTGCGAGTTGAAAAAAATCGTTTGGATTGGTGTGTGTTAATGCACGAACACATTCAATAAAAATATACAATAGACTTACCGGTAATGATAAACAATAGTGCACAATAAACTCTAAATAGTCCAGGTACACGGATTTTAAAAATAAGCATATCATACAAACAAATTCAAAGATTTTAAAACTAAATTAAAAACAAGCATGATACAAATGCCAAGTTTCAACCCAGGCTTTAACACAGCTCTATCTCTGGCTCATGGTATAGTGTTTGCGGTGTATGGGGGTGGGAGTTTACCGATAGCCAGTGTGTTGGTCATTAAACGCTAGTTATCCGGACGGATTAGCTTTGTACCCCCCTCCGCCCCCTCCACCCCCTTCATCCCTTAACCACCTACGGCTAGCTGCTGTGTTGATACGACCCGCATGCACACTGCACTACACTACTGAACGTAAACACCAACATAGGGCGGCCAACGTATGGCTGGTATTCAAACTCTGACTTAGTGATATTCAAACAGCTGTTTAGCAATATTCAAACTCTGACTTAGTGATATTCAAACACCTGTTTAACGATATTCAAACTCTGACTTAGCGATATTCAAACACCTGTTTAGCAATATTAAAACTCTGACTTAGTGGTATTCAAACAGCTGTTTAGCTATATTCAAACTCAGACTTAGTGATATTCAAACAGCTGTTTAGCAATATTAAAACTCTGACTTAGTGATATTCAAACAGCTGTTTTGCTATATTCAAACAGCTGTTTAGCAATATTTAAACTCTGACCTGGTGATATTCAAACAGCTGTTTAGCAATATTCAAACTCTGACTTAGTGATATTTAAACACCTGTTTAGCGATATTCCAACTCTGACTTGGTGATATTCGAACAGCTGTTTAGCGATATTCAAACTCTGACATAGTGATATCTAGGGTAGTTTTAGGATATTCAAATTGAGGTTACACTAACATTTAAACCATATTTTCTTGACATTGAAAAAATCACTGTGGATGTATTCAAACAGTGGTTTATAGAGTTTCTAACCGTAGTTCGACTAACACTGACTTCATGATATCATAGCGGTTTGTGGATGTTCAATCAGTTAATTTGCGATACTCAAAATGTAGTTAGGGCCTTATTCGAACCTTCGTAGTGATTGATATTCGTGTATATGCTCACTTCATTCTATAAGTCCAAACACGCACCTACAGTTTTACAAGTTAAGTGTAAGAAAGGGCCATGTGGCCCTAACTTTGCCTGGGTAAATAAATAATTTTTCATTTCATTTCATTTCACCATAGACTAACCAACACAAGTAGACTTCTCATCCCATTGTAAATTTTGAAGCACGTTTTTCGCGTCTAGTTCATGTACGTGACACAAAGGCGCTAGTGTCGACGAAACTTAGTTTATATTATTTTAGTGTTAATTTCTTGATTCGTGCTTTACTGTTTGGTTATATAACTAGGGGACAAGTTATTGTTTATGATTAGATCGTATTATTTGGTTGAACGAGGTTTTAAATGGCTGTAATAACGGGAAACAAATTGTAAACAAAACACGACCTCTACATAAACCGTACAGAACTAACAATAAAATTGTCTTCAGCTGTTCCATAAGGATGAGAAATCTACTAAGGGAGTATGTTTTATCTATGATTTCACCTATGTGACGTCACCATATCAATTGGTAAAATACTAATAGTACCCGACTGTAGTTTCTAAATTCTAAACTTTTTGCGACATTTAACTAGTTCATCCGTACAAACTGTTCAACAGTACATTCAAACTGAACAACACGTTTTTATGTTCAGACTTTGACGTTTATCAAATTTACCCTTTGTAGTTCTAATTTTAGTACTGTACTAAAGTATCGAATTACAATGGCTGATGATCTAGATAAAACTACTCTGTTCTTTAAAAGAATAGTACTTTGTCAAAAGGTTTCAATTTGATCTGAAACATGAGAAAACACTAATAAATACAGTTTATTTATGTGTTCAGGGTAGTACAAAAAATACAATGAATTCGCAATCACGAACGTACTTCAATGTACAAATGAATGTACATTGGTGATTTACGTTTGAAATAAAAAAAAGTCAGTGTAAGGTTGTAGTTCATTAGTGGATAAAGAGTGAGATTGGAGTAGGATGTGCTGAGGCGGTGGCCATCAGCAGCAACGAGTCCAATTATGTGCTGAGTATCGCCGGGTCTACGTCAGCACGCAGCAACGTTCAGCGCTCACTTCAGGTCTACTGTAGTTCGATAGAGGATAAAGAGTGTGATTGGAGAAGGATGTGCTGAGGCGGGGGCTATCAGCAGCAACGAGTCCAATTATGTGCTGAGTATCGCCGGGTCTACGTCAGCACGCAGCGATGTTCAACGCTCACTTCAGGTCTACTGTAGTTCGTTAGTGGATAAAGAGTGTGATTGGAGTAGGATGTGCTGAGGCGGTGGCTATCAGCAGCAACGAGTCCAATTATGTGCTGAGTATCGCCGGGTCTACGTCAGCACGCAGCGATGTTCAGCGCTCACTTCAGGTCTACTGTAGTTCGTTAGTGGATAAAGAGTGTGATTGGAGCAGGATGTGCTGAGGCGGTGGCTATCAGCAGCAACGAGTCCAATTATGTGCTGAGTATCGCCGGGTCTACGTCAGCACGCAGCGATGTTCAGCGCTCACTTCAGGTCTACTGTAGTTCGTTAGTGGATAAAGAGTGTGATTGGAGCAGGATGTGCTGAGGCGGTGGCTATCAGCAGCAACGAGTCCAATTATGTGCTGAGTATCGCCGGGTCTACGTCAGCACGCAGCGATGTTCAGCGCTCACTTCAGGTCTACTGTAGTTCGTTAGTGGATAAAGAGTGTGATTGGAGTAGGATGTGCTGAGGCGGTGGCTATCAGCAGCAACGAGTCCAATTATGTGCTGAGTATCGCCGGGTCTACGTCAGCACGCAGCGATGTTCAACGCTCACTTCAGGTCTACTGTAGTTCGTTAGTGGATAAAGAGTGTGATTGGAGTAGGATGTGCTGAGGCGGTGGCTATCAGCAGCAACGAGTCCAATTATGTGCTGAGTATCGCCGGGTCTACGTCAGCACGCAGCGATGTTCAACGCTCACTTCAGGTCTACTGTAGTTCGTTAGTGGATAAAGAGTGTGATTGGAGTAGGATGTGCTGAGGCGGTGGCTATCAGCAGCAACGAGTCCAATTATGTGCTGAGTATCGCCGGGTCTACGTCAGCACGCAGCGATGTTCAGCGCTCACTTCAGGTCTACTGTAGTTCGTTAGTGGATAAAGAGTGTGATTGGAGCAGGATGTGCTGAGGCGGTGGCTATCAGCAGCAACGAGTCCAATTATGTGCTGAGTATCGCCGGGTCTACGCAGCACGCAGCGATGTTCAGCGCTCACTTCAGGTCTACTGTAGTTCGTTAGTGGATAAAGAGTGTGATTGGAGCAGGATGTGCTGAGGCGGTGGCTATCAGCAGCAACGAGTCCAATTATGTGCTGAGTATCGCCGGGTCTACGCAGCACGCAGCGATGTTCAACGCTCACTTCAGGTCTACTGTAGTTCGTTAGTGGATAAAGAGTGTGATTGGAGAAGGATGTGCTGAGGCGGGGGCTATCAGCAGCAACGAGTCCAATTATGTGCTGAGTATCGCCGGGTCTACGTCAGCACGCAGCGATGTTCAACGCTCACTTCAGGTCTACTGTAGTTCGTTAGTGGATAAAGAGTGTGATTGGAGTAGGATGTGCTGAGGCGGTGGCTATCAGCAGCAACGAGTCCAATTATGTGCTGAGTATCGCCGGGTCTACGCAGCACGCAGCGATGTTCAACGCTCACTTCAGGTCTACTGTAGTTCGTTAGTGGATAAAGAGTGTGATTGGAGCAGGATGTGCTGAGGCGGTGGCTATCAGCAGCAACGAGTCCAATTATGTGCTGAGTATCGCCGGGTCTACGTCAGCACGCAGCGATGTTCAACGCTCACTTCAGGTCTACTGTAGTTCGTTAGTGGATAAAGAGTGTGATTGGAGAAGGATGTGCTGAGGCGGGGGCTATCAGCAGCAACGAGTCCAATTATGTGCTGAGTATCGCCGGGTCTACGTCAGCACGCAGCGATGTTCAACGCTCACTTCAGGTCTACTGTAGTTCGTTAGTGGATAAAGAGTGTGATTGGAGTAGGATGTGCTGAGGCGGTGGCTATCAGCAGCAACGAGTCCAATTATGTGCTGAGTATCGCCGGGTCTACGCAGCACGCAGCGATGTTCAACGCTCACTTCAGGTCTACTGTAGTTCGTTAGTGGATAAAGAGTGTGATTGGAGCAGGATGTGCTGAGGCGGTGGCTATCAGCAGCAACGAGTCCAATTATGTGCTGAGTATCGCCGGGTCTACGTCAGCACGCAGCGATGTTCAACGCTCACTTCAGGTCTACTGTAGTTCGTTAGTGGATAAAGAGTGTGATTGGAGTAGGATGTGCTGAGGCGGTGGCTATCAGCAGCAACGAGTCCAATTATGTGCTGAGTATCGCCGGGTCTACGCAGCACGCAGCGATGTTCAACGCTCACTTCAGGTCTACTGTAGTTCGTTAGTGGATAAAGAGTGTGATTGGAGCAGGATGTGCTGAGGCGGTGGCTATCAGCAGCAACGAGTCCAATTATGTGCTGAGTATCGCCGGGTCTACGTCAGCACGCAGCGATGTTCAGCGCTCACTTCAGGTCTACTGTAGTTCGATAGAGGATAAAGAGTGTGATTGGAGCAGGATGTGCTGAGGCGGTGGCTATCAGCAGCAACGAGTCCAATTATGTGCTGAGTATCGCCGGGTCTACGTCAGCACGCAGCGATGTTCAACGCTCACTTCAGGTCTACTGTAGTTCGTTAGTGGATAAAGAGTGTGATTGGAGTAGGATGTGCTGAGGCGGTGGCTATCAGCAGCAACGAGTCCAATTATGTGCTGAGTATCGCCGGGTCTACGCAGCACGCAGCGATGTTCAACGCTCACTTCAGGTCTACTGTAGTTCGTTAGTGGATAAAGAGTGTGATTGGAGAAGGATGTGCTGAGGCGGGGGCTATCAGCAGCAACGAGTCCAATTATGTGCTGAGTATCGCCGGGTCTACGTCAGCACGCAGCGATGTTCAACGCTCACTTCAGGTCTACTGTAGTTCGTTAGTGGATAAAGAGTGTGATTGGAGTAGGATGTGCTGAGGCGGTGGCTATCAGCAGCAACGAGTCCAATTATGTGCTGAGTATCGCCGGGTCTACGTCAGCACGCAGCGACGTTCAGCGCTCACGCTCACTTTCACAGTTCTCACTTCTCACTCTCGTCCGTTTAAACTCTGGGCTACAAATGATTAGGATGTGGTATTGAGTACGTTTACCAATAACTTTTGGATACCAACCCAACTATTGGGATCAGTTGTCCATCTATATAGACGAGTGGTAGTTTTTTTAGATTAAAATGCAGTTGTATAGTAGTACTACACGAATTATCCGAACTCAACTATCCGAACTCCAACTATCCGAATAGCTGATAATACGAATCACTTACAGAAAGAATAAAAAAAAAACACAAGAATCATTATTAAAGAAGGCACAAGCCGTGATCGCAGCAAAATCCAAAACTCCTGAAAACTCGTCATCGTCTCCTGCGTTCACAGTCACGAAACGTCATAAATGCCTTCCGCAGTTACGGAAACATCATCATTGTCTTCCGTTATCGTGGCAAAATTTAAATATATCCCATGGTCCTGTAGACATCATCATTGTCTCCCACGTCGCGGTAACATCGTCATTGTTTTCCACGGTTGCGGCCAAATCTTGAACATCTCCCGCAATCGTGTAGACATGATCACTGATCATCGCCTCTTAAAGCCATACAAACTCATGGCAATGTGAATTGTGCTGCGAATTTTTAGTGTTTTTGATTGTACACTTTTAAACATGGACAAGACCATTTTACTGGAAGAGCAAATAGAATAAGAGTTTGAGTCAAATTAAGGAACTCCTACTTTCACTACACTTCAACCGCAAAAGCTCTAAAATATTCAAGGATACACTTACCCTGCGGCCGTCCTTGGAGATGCCAACAGCTGCCACTAGAGGCAGGGAAGATCCCACTTTACCAGAAGACTTCTTTCCTGCAGAACTCTTACAGGCTGTGCTCGTAGACTTCCTCGTCGCACTCCTATTGGTCGAAGAGCTCGCCTCTTGTCCAACGAGAGCCTCTGATTGGCTGTTGTTGTTCCTGTCACTTGGTGAGGACAGTTTGGCCGTCATAGTTGGCCCTGCAGCGTGGTAGCGCCGATCACTGCATCACCAGACATTGGGTACCACGCGGGGCGACGGGCATAGAGAAACTTCTTGAGGTAACCTGGAAGAAAGGTTTGATTTAGCTTGAAATTATACATATAAAACAGTTTTTTTAACAGTTTGGTGCGTAGAAATACAGTGTTAAAGTGAGTGGTACATTATCCCCACTCTCAAAGCTAATCTTGATGTCAAATTGAAATCCTGTAACGCACCTCCTTTTTTATCAAGTTTATTACTCAGATTTTAATATGAAACTAAATCGGTCGATAAGGGAAAAACATTAACTCTTGGTTTTGATTACATTGCATTCTGTTAAATAGTCATTGATAAATGTTAAACTCTTCCCTTTATCAAACATTTAGATTGAATTTACGTTTAAACAACTAGGTATTGTTTATTGACTATTATACTGTATTTAGGTTTAGGCCTATATAAAATGCTACGTTGCATCCTGCCAAGCCTGAAGATAAGTGAACAATAAATAAGATACTGTATTAGATTTCTTATGTGATTGTGAGAAATATAAATGAATAGGAGCAACTAACGGTCCTGCCCATCCAAAACTATATCCTTCCTATGCACTTTCTAGTTTATTTTTGATTTTTTAAAGCACATGGTGTAAACTTTCTACCAGAACATTGGCGAGGACACGATCTAGGACTATTATTATATAGACCGCTAGATGTTAATGGTATGTAAGGCACTCGGCCAATGCAGTATAGACTATGCAGTAAAGCGCAGTAAGCCTATAAGACGCAGCAGCGATACCTACTGACACAGGCGACCTAGTCGTGCCAAGTAGTAGAACAGCCAACATTGATAACAGCTCTTATCAGCCAGCTGTTGGCAACGTTTCCCTCCAAAATAAAGTGAGAAGGGGTTTTTTTCTGAGGGTGCGAAGGTGTCTGCTGTTATTAAATAAGTTGTTCAGCTAAAATGTCATATAATTTAATAATTTTTACGTGTGTACCCTATTTCTGTGCAAAGAAGTTTTTTTATGTAAATTGTAAAAATTCTTGTCTGTTATCTCTTTGTTGTTGTTGTATTATTATCTCAGGTTTAATATCTTTATTATTTTCATCGAATTATTTTGAGACTTTTATGAATTGGCTTCAATTGCATTACATTGAAAATTGGTTGACATCTATTTCCATACCATGTTCCATATAGAGATGGAACAGTTATATCACTTTATTGTAATTTACGATCAAACTGTTTTAGCCAAAATACGAATTTAAGTAGAGTGTGATTATGTACAAAAATGGTACTGACAAGATCGCCTGTTTTATGGTTATGAAAGGTCCAACGTCAAGGATACCAGGGTCCAGTTTCGTATAGTAAAAATGCGACCGACTCCTCTCAAGATCAAACATGATACCTTCTGATAAGACATATTAGGAGAGCAGACAACTCATTCATCTACCTATTATTTCAACTAGTTCTAAGCACCTTTGCATGACTTAATTTGTAGTGTTTGACGTCGAGACTAAGGTTTATAAGAATCGGAAATGGTTATGAACTCGACAACGATCCAAAACTAAATTATAAGGGGCGGTTCACGAGCTCGGGACTTCATAGTCCGCGACCAGACGCTGGTCCCGGACTATATAAGCGACGACCAAAAAATGGGTTCACGAGTCAGAGCCTAATGATGTGAAAGCCGGGCCCATTGTAGGTCGAGACCAAATCCGTAGCGGAGCCTAATGACAGGGATTCGCAGGGAATTTCTGTTGAGACGTTGGTAACAACCAGTAACAACAGTCTGGAAACACATGTGAAGCCACTGCTGCTGACATACGCACTTCCATACCATAGGATGATCGTGAAAAAAGGCTGAACCAAAACGTCCAAAACGATTATTTTTCCCGTATTTCATTGTCCCAATGCTCGCCTATGATAATCTATCTAAGTTTATTGATTTATAAACACAACAATCCACGTTTGTATGAAATCAGAAAATGGAAGTCTTTAGTGAAATATATTTTTCTGTGTGCATTATTATAATTCAATTAAGATGCATGACATAAAATAACCGGGTAGGCCTATTTATAACGGGATGAATGCCTATTTTGCATAAATGCCCGATAATTAGGGATGGTGATTTTTGGATAGGATAATTTTAACTAAACTTATTTAAATGGTACAATTATTGAAACTAAAATGTATTTAGAGGTACTGATTATTAGATATAAAAATCGTATGTGTGTGCTGGATTTAATCGTGGCTGTAAACAAAGAATATTCTTTCCGTTATTCTTCCACTCTATAATAATCTAACTGTAAAATGTTGAAAATAATATTCTGCAATTAGCTCGTAATATTATTTATGTTAACAGCTATGGTTTTTAATTTACATTTTGTGTTGTTGCGATTTTTAAAATCAGTTTCATTACAATGCGTTTATATTTACTAGGTAGGAAGGATTTACTAGTATTATATTATATTTACTAGTAGGAAAACATAGTTTTTTTTCTTTTGGTATAGTTTCGAACTGAAAATTTGATTTGTTCTGCTTTCATTACCAAACAAATAGCTACTATCCAAACTTTACTAACATCCAATAAATCACCAGTTTCTCGATTAAAAGTTCCATCAGCCAAAAATATTAGTGCAACTGACATTTTTTTTCAATTTAGAATACTGTAATGGATTTTGCTGTCGGGAAATCCGTGCCTTGGAGTGAACGCCTCAAATGACTCATTGACGGTATCTTTGGAACATTTTAATCTATTTTTAAATTCATCAAGTCATAAAAGGGTTTTAGTCATGATAACGAGCTGGTCTTATGCGAGGAAGTGGAGTGATTGTACATAATTGTTAACATAATACAGTATAGATATTTCAAAGTCATATTCAATACACACGGCGACCAGTGAGTACAACACAAGACGGTGATATCACCGCGAACCGTACTCAACGACTGCCGGTTTGCTTGATGTTTCCCACGGCAAAAAACTATTTCTGATAATATTATGTTGGAACTGTGGCTGATTAGTTATATTTATATTCTACGCATAATTTTGTCGTTAAAATTGTAATAACATGGGGTTTATCAGTAAAATATCTTTGTTATGATACTACTTTGTTACGTGCATAATTTATCTGTCGTTTTAAGTTGTTTGATGATTTTTTCATGTTTTGTGAGCCTTTTTACCATTTTTACATATTTTTTCAATATGGTGTTGTGGGTAATGAAACTGTTCGGAATTTAATGAGGAACCATATTTAAACATTAGTTTTTAACAAATAATAAAAATAAAGGAGCTAATTAGATAAAACCGGCATCATGTCACGTTAAACCTGCCTCCTACCAGGTCTGAGTTGGAGACCAAACACCATTGTTCTTTTGGGCCCGAACCATCTCATTTGGGCTCGGACTTGACTCGTGAACCCACCGGGACTAATGATCAGAGCCGGGACTATCTGTAATTGGACTCGTGAACCCAACTTTTAAAACCGGGTTTTATCCCTGCACTAATTGTGTGCCGCCTATCAGTTTGGTCCGCGGCTTATATGGTCTCGAGCTCGTGAACCCGATTTTTTAAGTCGCGGCCCAAATACCGGTTATTTCCGGATTCTGGGCTCGGACTACGATAGTCCCGAGCTCGTGAACCGCCCCTAAGAGTCAGAAAATGGCAATAAATTGCAGAAAATTGTTTACCAAACCCTGAGAATGAAATGGACGACACTTTTCAACTATGAAGAAAGGGTGGTAAATAAAGTGTACAAACTCAGGTGAAGTAACTAACCCATCTCACATATTCTAATCCAACTTTATACAAAACGATGTTTCAAAGTCGAGCTTGTAACTTTTCCCGTGGGAGGTTATCAGTCTTGACCACTATACGCGGAATGCCCTAAGTTTTGCTGGTTTTGTATGGGTGGTCACTGTTTATTTACAAGACTAGTCGTTGGTTCGTAGCCAAAAGGTCTAAATTGCGGTACCGCTGCTCCACTAGCTGCTCTGCTCGAGCTAGACCTAAAAGATTGCTATAAAAAAATAGTCGCATTTGAAATTAATCGGAAGACAACAAGGAATCAATTTAGTCAATTTTTAGTATTTATTTTTGCCAGGTAATTGTGTCATTGAACACAGCCACATTTTTACTATTTCGCACAACTTTTTTCTTAAACATTTATATACGTTCATGACTTCGTATACACGTGCTTTTCCTGTAGACATTATACGAAAATGCCGTCAAACATAAGAAAATTGTTCATGTTTGGGAAAGTTTTCAGTCTTATCTAATCCCTCAGAACTCTGTCCTCGTGTGGTAGCTATTAGCTGTTTCAATAGTCAAATCTATTGAGTTAAAGATTACGAGAATAGCGTATTTATATTCCTTGTTTATATTTTTCAAATTTGTTTTACAATGTTAAACATACGATGATTGACACTACTCAGATGGAAATCTTTTTTTGCACAACCCTGTGGTAAGTCTAAAGACTCCTAAGTATTCCAGATAAAAGTTCTAATAATTTCAAAAATCCTAAAATAATTTGTAAACAGTTAATAATTATGTTTGAGCCAGGGCTCAAATCATTTCCACCCAATAAGTTCATGTCAAATAGTCTTTTTTTCAAAACATAGAGTCAAAACGAAGCAATTCAAATAAAAAATACTCGAATTATGTTGGTTGGTTGCAGTTCCGTAAGCCCACCTTCATTTATGACTAAAAGAATTGTATTGTGGATTTTATTATTGTGGTGATCGAGCCGATAAAGTGTTATGTTTGGTATGAAACAAACGGATGCCTCATAGATACAGCGACTACGCTATAAAATCTAGGCGCCTTTTGTCATAAAATATTATCTGTTATACTTATCCCACCCCATAAAAAATTAGTTTATGCCTTTAATGTTTTCGATCAATTTAGTTGTTTTTAAATGAATAAAGAATTTATTTTTTATGGGTTTAATGGCAGATTTTTAACAAAAAATTTTTTGTCTTGAAAAAATTTTAAAAACCAAGTCGTCAAAATTGTTAATCAGCTAGTTGTAAAATTCACTTCATCGATATCCTCGTCGTTATGCAGCAGTTTTTGTCACAATTCAAACCATC